ATATTTTGAGTAAAGCTTTATATAAAATATGTATAAAATATTTATATAACATTTAAAAAAATGATATTCATAAATATTTTGTGCTGTAAGTAGAATTAGATTGAGATACTAAAATACATATGAAAGATCAATTAGAAAATTTATATATGTGTTTGTGCGATCATATTAATGGAGTAGTATGTATCATTGAATGTGTAAATCATATGTGTGTAAATCCTACCGATTTGATAAAACAAATGACTTTACTTCTTAATAAAAGTAATACAAGGAATCTAGTTAAAAATTATTGTTTTTAAAACTATCTTTTTCTTCATTTTAACTGTCTTTCTCGAGTTGAACATTCTGTATCTCATTCTGTATCTCTAATTTTGAAGATTCCGGGAAAAAATATGTTATATATAATTGTACATGTATAAAATAAGTTTTTATATGTAGTTATATAATTTTAAATAATTTTATATTTATGTATAATTATATGAAACATTTTTTTTCCGATATCTGATTAGATATTTACATTAAATATATGCAATTTTTTTTCTAATTTATTTTAGTCAACAATCTGTTCGGAAATATAAAAACGCTTATTTAAGAGGAAGATGTTGAGGAACCAGGTTGCAAACTTAATTTATCCATGAAGTTATTAGAGTTATCCTTTTTGCCGAATAGAGGTATCAGCACACTGTCGTAAACATAATTATGTTATCAAATAATATAATTAAATACTACATCGCACTATATTATGACTTTGTTATTTAGAAATGAGTTGATATGAACTGTCTATAGTATTATCGACATTGATCAATATATCGATTTAATTAATAATTATTTTCAGTGAGATATTAAAGATGTATTATATATTTTTTAAATAATGAAAAGTTATGAAAAAATTACAAATTTTTTGGGCATCGCATTTAAAAATCATATAAAAAAAGATGGCAGCGATATAGAAGCTAGATTAAAAATTATTTCGATATAAAAAGTAATATTTTTTATTTTTTTATCTGTGTTATAGATATCTATAGAAATGTATTATAACATAATAAAAAAACATATTTGTAAAAATGGATATAATACATCCTTAAATAGAAATCAGACAGTTCATGATTTATTATCACGAACGTAAAACATTCAGGTTTAATGAATTTTAACAAATTGAATTTATAGAAGAAATCACCTTTTTTCTTTTATTAAATCGTTCAGGTTACCAGTTAGAATTCCAGCTAAAGCGATCGCTGCGTAATAATCATTGAAATTTTCTTTTATTAATAGAAAATTGGCAGCTTTTTGAATAAGTGTTTCAGATACCAGAACAATTCGATCGAACAAATATAACCTTATGTCTTTAAGTAAATTATTATATCCTACATATATATTCTGACCGGGAACAGTTATTTTATAACATTTTTGTCTAACATTGTTGATTAAAAGATCTTGAACTGTAGTTTGGACCTCCTATTAGGATTTGAGATATTATACATATAATTTACAATGGATACAATTATTTTCATGAAATAAACTACGTTTATTAGATCGAACGTGAAATTAATCATATAATAACTTACGATTATAGAAAAGCACTTATTTACTTACGATAATTTTTATATTTGAATTCCATTTTCTGATAGCCATTGCAATAGTCGCAGTTACTCCACAAGCATCGATCGTCGTCGGCAATATCACTGTATCAATTGTCTTTCCAGAATCTAACTGTTCAAAAATTTCTAGGCCCAAAGTTGCTTGGCCAATAATCATATTTGGATGATCGTTTCTATTAAAAAGATATCATAAAATAATTTGATCATGAAGAAAATAATAAAATATGTAAGATTATAAATACGTACAAATTAATATTTTTTTTAAATTAATTACTTTTCAAAACAATAGAATGAAAACTGTAACATAAAGAAAATAAAAATAATCGATGAAAATATCATCTTTTAACGAGAATGTATTTTAATTAATAGCGAATTCGATTGGATGCACTCAGTGTAAATTGGAGCACATTAAAACCGTACACAAATTGACGTAAAACTGTTTAATATAAATATAAAAATATATTAAATCATAAAATTCGCAGTTTATTATGTTATTAAATAAAATCTATATTTTATAATTCAAAATACTTGCATTTTATTTTTACACAGTTTATTATTCCAATTGACACAAATTAAAAATAACATACATGTCAATGTTATAATTTCGTATTCTAATGTAATTATTATATAACGCCATGAGTTACATATATATTGTAGTATTACATATATATTCTAGAACGAAATTACACATTGATGTTATATTATTTTTAATTTGTGGCGCTTGGGGATCAATGTATGTTTAATATACATTAACACGCACTTAACTAAGATTTAAAATAGAGTACCCGTCAAGATAATATAAATTTCTTGTCCTGGCAATTTTCAAAGCGATATTATGTACTTCTACTATATTGTCATCCTGAGCAATTACTATTGTTCCCAGATATTGACATTTATCAATTATTTCCTGTGCCGTTGATTTCGGCATCACTACTGTCACTGGTATTCCAAATTTCTGTCCAAAATAACAAAGAGTTTGAGCGAAATATCCCGTTGAGATTGCTATGACACCGTTGTGTTTCTGTTCATCAGTTAGCTGTAGCAGAGTATAAATCACACCGCGTGCTTGGATACTATTCATATGTTGATCAAGTTCTTTCTTGAAATAGACATGGACTCCTATTTTTCTCAATAACGAACTCTGAATCAATCAAATCATTAGATTTGATTAAAAATCGTCCTCTTAAAGGATTCCTTATAAATGTTTTGCGTTATATAATGTTTGAATCAAAGTCACACACATATACAGTATCAGTTAAAAGTTTAGACTTATATAAAAACGGCTGTAATCCATAAAGAGACGAATATATATAATATACAACAAATTTATTGCATGTAAAGATTACATTTGGACATAATCTAAATTTTTTCTTGAAGAAAAATTTGTAACAAAAACAAATATTTTGTAGTAATCTAATTTTTAAGTTTTGACACAATCATTAGCTTATTTTCATCAATAATACATGTATCTTCCCAGTAAGAAATGATCCTCAATTTGACATCGAATTCGGTTATTTCTCACTAGGTTCTTCGGACTTTTTATCACAGCAGCACAAAGTTTTAACATCCTTTTTATTAGTTTAAATAATGTTTCCACTGAAAGCCTCTTAGGCAGTTTTTAAAAGAGCTTAAAGAATGTTTATTTCATTCTTTGGTCGGATCCAAATCTCCGACCTAGTGGCTATGTTTTTAGTATAAAGCATATAACTATACCCCAACAACTTGCAACAATATTACACGTTGCAGTAATATTGCAGCAATATTGTTACAAATTTTGTGTTGTTGGGGTATCATTTCCGTTATATCAAACTTGCTTTGGAACGAAGAGTAGAAAATTCCAAACTTTTTTGACCGACACACACACACACACACA